TCTTGAAGGTTCTGGGTCATTACCAATCTTTCCTCAACTGGCCTGTGGCATTTTCCCCTTTAATGACAGGGCATGGTAGGTCTAAGGGATGCTCTTGTAATTCCTCCACTCCAAGGAACTCTTTTGTTTTTCTTGCCTTTGTTGCCTAGAAACCGCCAATTTCCCCGTTGGTAATCATGATCAGTCTAGTACAGTCATTCCTCCTGATTCAGACCCATGAGGAGCCCAATGTGGCCAGCAAGTTTATTCATGTAGTCATTCTTGTGTCTCCTGGTGGAAGCACTCCTGCCTTTGGAAGTAAGAACACTAGGACAATGGAGCATAAGGTTGGAGTGAAAATTCCCCCAAATTCAAATTTTTATAATCAGACTGATAGAGGTAATCATGAATGGTGCCATTCCCATTTCCATCCCTGAATCCTGGATGAGTGAACCCTGGCTTTGGAAGAAACAGCACCATATATTGTACATTGATTTAAAGCAGATAGAGCCTACTGGAGAGCATTCCTTCAACCCTGTAAGTGATTGCCCCCTCGCTGGTGCTGTATACACAAACCTACACTGAGGTTATTTCTCTGGATCTGGAATGCAGAACTGTAGTGGATATACAATCCCCAACTGGCTAAAAAGACTTGGTAGCATAGAGAGGTTTGAGGGCACCGGCTCCATGGGGATCTTCCCATATGTCCCTATTCCAATGGTCAGGCTCCCATTTCTCAGCCTTCTCATTGTAAAGGATGACAGGCTGTAACTTAGAGAATTCACTTTCCTTTTAGTTCATACAGAGGCAGGCTGATCCCCGGGTTTCGTTTTATAAATCTGAGCCTTACCTAAAGCCTATGGCTATATGTCAGGATGATCTGCAATGCAGACATAGAAGCTTGGATCAGTTATCTTTTTTGGTCAGAGAATTTTTTTTAGATTATATTCATTTATTCATGAGAAACACACAAAGAGAGAGGCAGAGACATAGATAGGGGAGAACCAGGCTCCATGGAGGGAGTCTGATGTGTGACTGGAACCTGGGAATCCAAGGTCACACTCTGACCTGAAGGCAGATGCTCGCTCACTGAGCGACCCATGGGGCTCTTGGTCTGAGAATTTTAATCCTCCACATTACTCTTTCCTTTTCCCACTCTCTCCAGTACAACATGGATATCCAGTCAACCTTCTAATGCTCCTTAGTTTAACTAAAATGTTTTAAGGCATCAAATACATACTGACCAGAACCTTCCCTTTAACAAGTCTGTGATTAGCATTATCACTGATGATGTCCTGTGTATTGCAACATCAGACCCTGGGCTACCAGTGTCCTCTTTACCTTTGGCAGTTAGAGTCATCAGTGTCTTTCCAACTAATCCTCTTGAAGCACCAATTCAAGAAACCCAGAGTCAATTCAGCGAACTCATTAATATTCTGCTTCTCCTAGAACCATTCTTGGTATCAGAATTTATCTTAGAGTTCTACCAGAAAGAGAAAACCATTAGAAAAGAAGCTTCCCCAGGGTCAGGAAAAAAAAAAGAAAGGAAGAAAGGAACAACCCGACAGACCCAGAAGTACAATGTATCTGAGCTCCAATTTCTGACCACCCAATAGCTTTCTTATGTTCTCCCTGTGTTCTTACTGAGCAGCTTAAGTAAGAAAGGGGACAAGCGGACCAATAGTGCAGTTGATGGGGCCACTGACTGAGGGAGGACACAGCAGGGATGAAAAGGGCAGGAAAGGGTCATGTTCAGGTAGCACCAATGGTCTGGGATGTGTTGGGCAAGGAAGGTCAGTGCCCATTCAGTAATCCTCAGGAGGAAGAAATTTAACACACTTGGGGTCATGGGATTTGTAGAGGTAAGATGATCAGGTCATGCACAGACTGGGAGGTTCCCAGAGGAGGCTTGCAGATAAATAGAACACGCATGAACATCAGCTCCCCAATCTTGAGATGCAGGCCCCAGGACACTTCCTCACATGGTGCCTGAGCTCTTTGCTCTCAGGAAGCCCTATACTCTCCTGGTAATGCTGTCACCCCCAGCTGTACCAAACTTTAGAGAAGTCAGGCTCACAGATGTTCAGGAAGTCGAGGAACGGTCCAAACCAGAGTGGGTGGGCATAAGGGAACTGGCGGCCCAGGACACAACTTTGTCCAGGCTCCCTGTCTACTGCCTCAGAAATGTGAGTGAATGCCAGGCCAGGCCCCTCCGGAGCCCACTGTACCAGCCAGGCCCTAAGTCCCTGGGCCCGGGAGAGAAGGGGCTACCCAGGTAGATCCTCGCAAAGTCCTCCTCTCCTCTTCCAGCCCCTCGTAGACAGTCATGGTCTTAGTCCCCTCTCCAGTCCCAGAGCTACCACTCTAAGTCCAAGCCACCCTCTTCCTGCACCTACGTGAGCTCGATAACCTGCTTCTACAGGTTCCTGTCATCAACCCTCAATCTATCCTGCCCTCACAGAGAGATGTCTTTCTATGCTGTAAAGCTGTTTTCCTGAGAGAGAGAGAGAGAGAGAGAGAGAGAGAACACCAGCTTGCCGTGCAATGTAGAAATCTGCTCAGTTGGGCCCCTGTTATGTTGTTAGACTCAGTTTTGAGGACCTACTATGAGGAGGACACGGTCCATATGTCTCAGGGCATGAGACAGACCTGCTCCTACCCTTTATTCTGTGGGGCAGACCGATGCAACTAAACATGAAGGAACGTGAACACACAGAGCAGGAAGTGCTAGGCAGGAAGCAAGCATGGCATCAGGAGAGACTTCAGGGAAGCTGATTAGAGAGGGAGATGGAGGATGCCTTCTGGTGGGAGAGGACATTTGAGGTGAAAGCTGGAGGCTGACAAGGAGCTGTTGATGCAAAGAACAAGGAAAGCCTTTGGGATAGAGCAAACAGCAAGTCAAATCCTGGGGCAGGACAAAGTGTGGAGTCTTCCATGAGCTGACACTTGGTGAGATGGTGGCCTGAGAAGTTGCTGGAGAGGCAATCCAGAGAATGGTGTGTGCTCTAAGATAAGGTGCTTTAAAAATGTAGGTAGACAATATATGAAAGCATGGGCCTCACCAATGCCAACACAAGTAACCATTATCCACAATAAATGATAGTCAGGCATGAGGAAAACTGGAGTAGAAACTTGAGGTCCTGGTCCTACCTGTGACATTTACATTCTTCTTGACCTTGGGAACCTCAGAACTCCCTGGGCCTTAATTTTCTTGTCTAGCAATTAAGGCTAATAAATTGTACAGTAGATATGAGTGCTTCGAAAGCCCTTGAAAATCTTGAGGAGATATTTTTGAGGCAATACCATGCAGGGTACTCGGTCAGGAATCACTTATATCTCATTCCAAGCAGAGAGTTGTGCTACACAATGTGTCCAACCAAAACAAACAGGATAGTTCTGTGCATTCACTTGGATGAGAAAAGCAAGCAAATATTTAGGAATGAGAAACTGTTGCCTGGGATGTGCAGTCTTTATAAAGGTGTAAACGTCAACAAGATGTGATACATTGCATCAGCATCCAATGCAATGTTATCAGTCCCAGAAACAGGTATGCTTGGTGTTCTCTACCTGCAAGAGTTGTTTCTTCAAGATACCACCTTCGAGACTGACTGCCTACTCCTCTGCCTTCTTGTGGCCTGTTAATGGAACCAGGAAGCACCCAGGGATAAAAATACTCATTTCCCTTTAAAATGTGGCAACTCAAACTGAACCTAGTCTCTTTGAGACTGTGATCAAAGGGTACAATGTGTTCCTGTTTTCCTCCATTTATTGGTCAATCACTAAGACTTCACTGGGCATCACCACCAGGTACAGCCCTGTGACCCATTCTTTACAAGCATAAGGACACAGGCTGCCCTGTTACAACCTTCAGTGGCCCCTTGATTAGTCTGTCTGGATACCAGATAAACGGAAAAGATATTAACTGGTGAATCAATGTTGACCATGCCAGCACAACTTACTAAGACTTAAGCTCAGACTCTTAAATTGTCCTCCTCAGATGCATATTCACAGGGTCTCCATGAGCTGTAGCCCCCACCCATCTCCTGAGGACTCTCTATCTGGTGAACTCCTACTCATCCTTCAGTACTCCTGAGGATTCTCTATCTGGTGAACTCTCTATCTGGTGAACTCCTACTCTGGTGAGCCCTATTCCTATTCATCCATTCTTGTTTGTAGTTTTCTCCTTCCATGGATGGGCCCAGTCCACTATTCACTCTTTCAGTACAGGACTTACCAAGTTTTCCAGTACTGCCTTAGTTTTCTGCCTTGACCTCAAGAGCGTGAGCTCAAGAAGCATTTGCTGAGTGCATCAGTGACTGAATGAATGAGCATTCCTGGGAGGAATTTGGCAAAGGAATGTTTACCCCCCTTATAGAAGGAAAATCTGAGGCACAGAGAGTGTGATTGCCTGGCTTCGTATGTCCTGAGTGAGCCCTGAGGCTGGGCCTCCTGAGTGTGAGGCCAGTGCTGTGTCTGCCGGCACAGTCAGCTCAGGGCACAGTGAATGGTGGACTGGGACAAGTGTGGAGAACAGTGCAGAGGCAGCTGGGGCAGACAGTATGGAGGCCCCCTGATGCTAGTGTCAGTTGGCCCTCTCAAAGGTGATTTTCCTCTGGCCACATCACGTTAGCTCCCCGTAAGTGTTCTTTTCCAGAAAGGGGGTAATCATCAACCCAAGCAAACCTCCTGAACATTTGGTAAACTAGGCTGTACATTTTTTGCAGTCACAGTTCATGTCTTTTTGGCTGGCCACTGTGGCCTGGTGCATAGCTCACCGCCAGGCACAGAATAGGTGTCCCTGAAATAACTGATAAATAACAGGAATAAGGGCAAAGGGGAATGTGCCTGGGCATTATCACTGTCTGATCAGAAGGTTTCCTTCCTACCGATTCCTAAGGTGGATCCTCTCAGTTAATGAACTCTGGAATCCCAGTCTAAGCTCTGCCCTAGTGCTTCACTCCCCCTCCAGGTGGGCAGGGCCATCCTCCCCTGACTGACGAGGCCAAGTGGTCAGAGGATTTCAGCAACACTCAGGGATCAGGAAGAGTCAGTGACGCAGCAGCACCTGAACATGAGTGTCTCTGTACTGAGCCTCACCAGACCCCTGGACACTGTGTCTGGGCTCCTGCAGCTGGCCTTTCTGCTAGGCCTGGCTCTGCTGCTGCTCAAGGCAGCACAGCTCTACCAGCGCAGGCAGTGGCTGCTCAAAGCTGTCCAGCAGTTCCCGTCCCCTCCTTCCCACTGGCTCTTCGGGCACAAGCGGGAGGTAGGAAGGGGCTGGACTGGGGAGAGGGAGGGCTGGGCGGACTGGGGAAGGCAGCAACTACCTACCCAACATCTGTTTGGTGCCAGCACTAGCTGTGTGGGAGGGATGCCCAGGGCAAGGAGAAGCCCACCTATAGAGGGGCTCACCAATGGTTTATGGATTCAACAAGTAGTAGGAGTCAACTGGGGAGTTGTAGTCAACTCACTCAAGGAAAACCCAGGGACATCTTGGTAAATGATGATTTGATGAATGAACAAAGCATGAGGAAGGGCTTCTAATATCCAATTTGGAGTTCCCAAATCTTCCGCATATTCTTGGGCTTCCCTCCATCAGAGCATTAGTATCCTCTATTGTCAGGGCCTCTTAAATCTGTCAGTTAGCAAAATAAAATATATAATTTAAATTTTAAAATGTAATCCGGGAGCAAGGGGCAAGATGGCGGAAGAGTAGGGTCCCCAAGTCACCTGTCCCCACCAAATTACCTAGATAACCTTCAAATCATCCTGAAAATCTATGAATTCGGCCTGAGATTTAAAGAGAGAACAGCTGAAATGCTACAGTGAGAAGAGTTCACGCTTCTATCAAGGTAGAAGACGGGGGAAAAAAGAAATAAAGAAACAAAAGGCATCAAGGGGGAGGGGCCCCGCGAGGAACCAGGCTAAGGCCACGGCGAGTGCCCCCAGGACAGGAGAGCCCTGTCCCGGAGAAGCAGGAGCTGCACCAACCTTTCCCGAGGGAAAGGGGCCCGCAGGGAGTTAGAGCAGGACCCAGGAGGGCGGGGATGCCCTTGGGCTCCCTGGGACACTAACAGACACCTGCGCCCCAGGGAGAGTGCGCCACACACCAGGCCGAGCTCCCTAAAGGTCTGCAGGGCGCCTGGCTGGACTCGAGAGCAGCTCGGAGGGGCTTGGGCGGCGGCTCCACGCGGAGGGGCCTGCGCGACCGGGATCGCGAATCCAACAGCGCAGGCCCCAGAGCACAGGGCGCCAGGACACAGCCCAGGATCCGACCTCCCACCGGGACAGGCAGAAGTCAGGAGGGCCCAGGACAGCAAGGACGCTCCTGCCCAGAGCTGAGCAGATCAGCGGCCCCGCCCCCGGAGCATCCAGGCCCCTGCAGGCAGAGAGCTCTACAGTTACTGCAGGAGCTGAATCCAGGACTCCAGAGCTGGCCGCTGCCACTGTTGCTGTTTCTCCTGGGGCCTACAGGATAAACAACCCCCACTGAGCCTCACAGTGGCCTCACCGGATAAACAGCTTAAACGTCTTTCACTGAGCCCTGCACCAGGCAGGGGACAGAGCACCTACCCCAAGTGCTAACACCTGAAAATCAGCACAGCAAGCTCCTCCCCCAGAAGGCCAGCTAGACGGACAGGGGAAAAACAAATTATTAACCAAGCAGCACTGGAAAGTTCCAGGGAAGGTCGATGGGCTTACACTATACAGAATCAGAGGATACCCACCCTTGTTTTTTGTTTTGTTTTGTTTTGTTTTGTTTCTGTTTGCTCCCCCCCATTTTTTTCTTCTTTTTTTCTTTCTTTTCTTCCTTTCTTTTTCTTTTTCTTTCCTTCTTTCTCTTCTCTTTTTCTCCTTTTCCCAATACAACATGTTTTTGGCCACTTTGCACTGAGCAAAATGACTAGAAGGAAAACCTCACCTCAAAAGAAAGAATCAGAAACAGTCCCCTCTCCCACAGAGTTACAAAATCTGGATTACAATTCAATGTCAGAAAGCCAGTTCAGAAGCACTATTATAAAGCTACTGGTGGCTCTAAAAAAAGCATAAACAACTCAAGAGACTTCATAAATGAGAATTTAGATCCAATCAGGCAGAAATTAAAAATAAATTGAATGAGATACAACCCAAACTAGAGGTCCTAACGACGAGGGCTAACGAGGCGGAAGAACCAGTGAGTGACAGAGAGGACAAGTTGATGGCAAAGAGGGAAACTGAGGAAAAAAGAGACAAACAATTAAAAGATCATGAGGATAGATTAAGGAAAATAAGTGACAGCCTGAGGAAGAAAAACCTACGTTTAATTGGGATTCCCGAGGGCGCCGAAAGGGACAGAGGGCCAGAATATGTATTTGAACAAATCATAGCTGAAAACTTTCCTAATCTGGGAAGGGAAACATGCATTCACATCCAGGAAATAGAGAGATCCCCCCTAAAATCCATAAAAGCCGTTCAACACCTCGACACTTAGTAGTGACACTTGCAAATTCCAAAGATAAAGAGAAGATCCTTAAAGCAGCAAGAGACAAGAAGTCCCTGACTTTTATGGGAAGGAATATCAGATTAACAGCAGACCTCTCCACAGAGACCTGGCAGGCCAGAAAGGGCTGGCAGGATATATTCAGGGTCCTAAATGAGAAGAACATGCAACCAAGAATACTTTATCCAGCAAGGCTCTCATTCAGAATAGGAGAGATAAAGAGCCTCCAAGACAGGCAGGAACTGAAAGAATATGTGACCTCCAAACCAGCTCTGCAAGAAATTTTAAGGGGGACTCTTAAAATTCCCCTTTAAGAAGAAGTCCAATGGAACAATCCACAAAAACAGGGACTGAATAGGTATCATGATGACACTAAACTCATATCTGTCAATAGTAACTCTGAACGTGAATGGGCTTAATGACCCCATCAAAAGGCGCAGGGTTTCAGACTGGGTAAAAAAGCAGGACCCATCTATTTGCTGTCTATAAGAGACTCATTTTAGACATAAGGACACCTACAGCCTGAAAATAAAAGGTTGGAGAACCATTTACCATTCAAATGATCCTCAAAAGAAAGCAGGGGTAGCCATCCTTATGTCAGATAAACTAAAATTTACCCCAAACACTATAGTGAGAGATGAAGAGGGACACTATATCATACTTAAAGGATCCATGCAACAAGAGGACTTAACGATCATCAATATATATGCCCCGAATGTGGGAGCTGCCAATATATCAATCAATTAATAACCAAAGTTAAGACATACTTAGGTACTAATACACTTATACTTGGTGACTTCAATCTAGCACTTTCCACACTCGATAGGTATTCTAAGCACAACATCCCACAAAGAAACAAGAGCTTTAAATGGTACACTGGACCAGATGGATTTCACAGATATCTATAGACCTTTACGTCCAAACGCAACTGAATACACATTCTTCTCAAGTGCACATGGAACTTTCTCCAGAATAGACAACATACTGGGTCAGAAATCGGGTCGGAACCAATACCAAAAGATTGGGATCGTCCCCTGTGTATTCTCAGACCATAATGCCTTGAAATTAGAACTAAATCACAACAAGAAGTTTGGACGGACTTCAAACACGTGGAGGTTAAGGACCATACTGCTAAAAGATGAAAGGGTCAACCAGGAAATGAAGGAAGAATTAAAAAGATTCATGGAAACTAATGAGAATGAAGATAAAACCATTCAAAATCTTTGGAATACAGCAAAAGCAGTCCTGAGGGGGAAATATATCGCAATACAAGCATCCATCCAAAAACTGGAAAGAACTCAAATACAGAAGCTAACCTCACACCTAAAGGAGCTAGACAAAAATCAGCAAATAGATCCTACACCCAGCAGAAGAAGAGAGTTAATAAAGATTCGAGCAGAACTCAATGAAATCGAGACCACAAGAACTGTGGAACAGATCAACAAAACCAGGAGTTGGTCTTTGAAAGAATTAATAAGATAGATAAACCATTAACCAGCCTTATTAAAAAGAAGATAGAGAAGACTCAAATTAATAGAATCATGAATGAGAAAGGAGAGATCACTACCAACACCAAGGAAATACAAACGATTTTAAAAACTTATTATGAACAACTATATGCCAATAAATTAGGCAATCTAGAAGAAATGGACGCATCTGGAAAAACACAAACTACCAAAACTGGAACAGGAAGTAATAGAAAACCTGAAGAGGCCAATAACCAGGGAGGAAATTGAAGCAGTCATCCAAAACCTCCCAAGATGAAAATCCAGGGCCAGATGGCTTCCCTGGGGAATTCTATCAAACGTTTAAAGAACAAACCATACCTATTCTATTAGGGCTGTTTGGAAAGATAGAAAGAGATGCAGTACTTCCAAATTCTTTCTATGAGGCCAGCATCACCTTAATTCCAAAACCAGACAAAGACACCACCAAAAAGGAGAATTATAGACCAATATCCCTGATGAACAAGGATGCAAAAATTGTCCGCAGGATACTAGCCAATCTGATCCAGTAGTACATTAAGAAGATTATTCACCATGACCAAGTGGGATTTATCCCGGGGATGCAATGCTGGTTCAACACTCGTAAAACAATCAATGTGATTCATCATATCAGCAAGAGAAAAACCAAGAACCATATGATCCTTTCAATAGATGCAGAGAAAGCATTTGACAAAATACAGCATCCATTCCTGATCAAAACTCTTCAGAGTGTAGGGATAGAGGGAACATTCCTCGACATCTTAAAAGCCATCAACAAAAAGCCTACAGCAAATATCATTCTCAATGGGGAAGCACTGGGAGCCTTTCCCCTAAGATCAGGAACAAGACAAGGATGTCCACTCTCACCACTGCTATTCAACATAGTACTAAAGTCCTAGCCTCAGCAATCAGACAACAAAAAGACATTAAAGGCATTCAAATTGGCAAAGAAGAAGTCTAACTCTCCCTCTTCGCCAATGACATAATACTCTGCCTAGAAAACCCAAAAGCCTCCATCCAAGATTGCTAGAACTCATACAGAAATTTGTCAGTGTTGGAGGATACAAAATCAATGCCCAGAAGTCATTGGCATTTCTATACACTAACAATGAGACTGAAGAAAGAGAAAATAAGGACTCAATCCCCTTTACAATTGCACCCAAAAGCATAAGATACCGAGGAATAAACCTAACCAAAGAGGTAAAGGATCTATACCCTAAAAACTACAGAACACTTCTGAAAGAAATTGAGGAAGACACAAAGAGATGGAAAAATATTCCATGCTCATGGATTGGCAGAATTAATATTGTGAAAATGTCAATGTTACCCAGGGCAATTTACACGTTTAATGCAATCCCTATCAAAATACCATGGACTTTCTTCAGAGAGTTAGAACAAATTATTTTAAGATTTGTGTGGAATCAGAAAAGACCCCGAATAGCCAGGGGAATTTTAAAAAAGAAAACCATATCTGGGGGCATCACAATGCCAGATTTCAGGTTGTACCACAAAGCCGTGGTCATCAAGACAGTTTGGTACTGGCACAAAAACAGACACAGATCAATGGAACAGAATAGAGAATCCAGTTGTGGACCCTCAACTTTATGGTCACCTAATATTTGGCAAAGGAGGAAAGACTATCTGCTGGAAGAAAGCCAGTCTCTTCAATAAATGGTGCTGGGAAAATTGGACATCCCCGTGCAGAAGAATGAAACTAGACCACTCTCTTGCACCATACACAAAGATAAACTCTAAATTGATGAAGGATCTAAATGTGACACAAGATTCCATCAAAATCCTAGAGGAGAACACATGCAAAACGCTTTTTGAACTCGGCCACAGTAACTTCTAGCAAGATAAATCCACGAAGGCAAAAGAAACAAAAGCAAAAATGAACTATTGGGACTTCATCAAGATAAGAAGCTTTTTTACGGCAAAGGATACAGTCAACAAAACTAAAACCTACAGAATTGGAGAAGATATTTGCAAATGACGTATCAGATAAAGGGCTGTTTTTCAAGATGTATAAAGAACTTATTAAACTCAACAGCAAAGAAACAAACAATCCAATCATGAAATGGGCAAAAAACATGAACAGAAATCTCACGGAGGAAGACATACACATGTCCAACAAGCACATGAGGAAATGCTCTGCATCACTTGCTATCAGGGAAATACAAATCAAAACCACAATGAGATCCCACCTGACACCAGTGAAAATGGGGTAAATTAAAAAGGCAGGAAACTACGAATGTTGGAGAAGATGTGGAGAAAAGGGAACCCTCTTGCACTGTTGGTGGGAATGTGAACTGGTGTAGCCACTCTGGAAAATTGTGTGGAGGTTCCGCAAAGAGTTAGAAATAGATCTGCCCTAAGACCCAGCAACTGCACTGATGGGGATTTATCCCAAAGATGCAGATGCAATGAAACGCCGGGACACCTGCACCCCGATGTTTCTAGCAGCAATGTCCACAATAGCCAAACTATGGAAGGAGCCTCAATGTCCATCGAAAGATGAATGAATAAAGAAGATGTGGTTTATGTATACCATGGAATATTACTCAGCCATTAGGAACGACAAATACCCACCATTTGCTTCGACATGGATGGGACTGGAGGGTATTATGCTGAGTGAAGTAAGTCAATCGGAGAAGGATAAACATTGTATGATCTCATTCATTTGGGGAATATAAATAATATTCAACAGGAATAAAGGGGAAAGGAGAAAAAATAAGTGGTAAATATCAGAATGGGAGACAGAACATGGAAGACTCCTAACCCTGGGAAACGAACTAGAGGTGGAGGAAGGGGAGGAGGGCCGGGTTGGGGGTGACTGGGTGGCGCGCACTGAGGTGGGCACTTAATGGGATGAGCACTGGGTGTTACTCGGTATGTTGACAAATGAAACACCAATAAAAAATAAATTTATATAAAAAATAAATTAAATGAATTAAAATGTAATCCATTTTATGCTCCAAATAAGTAAAATTATATGGCAAAACTTCTTACCAAGTGATAAAATTGTCATAAATTTTTTATGCAAATGTTGCACTAATGACTTCCTGAAGTTTTGTACACCATGGAGTCAATCCCTGATAAGTTTCTGTAGGCAGTTGATTGTGAAGGCTGCTAATTCTACTCAACAATGGGACAGAATCTGACCTCTGGACAAACCTTGGACAGCCCAGAAAGTCTGTATCAGAGGCAATGTCATAAGAAACAGTTGTGAATACTTAGTTCTTCTGGTAGATCAAGAACTCTCCCCCTATGCCCATCCTGCCCTTTCCCCTGGCACTAGTCCTGGAACCAGAAGGTTCTATTGATTTATCTTTCTTTTGGTGACAGTTGCAAAGAGAAGACGAGCTGCAGCTGCTACTGAAATGGATAGAGGACTTCCCATGTGCATTTGCTCGCTGGATATGGGGCACAGAGGCAGAGATCCTGATCTATGACCCTGACTACATGAAACTGATCCTGGGGCGATCTGGTGAGAGGACACCCTCATACCTGTTGAAGCAGCTCTTCCCTCTTGGACACATGCCCAGGGTTCTGTGAAATTGCAAAAAACCATGAGAGGCTCAGCCCTCAATACCTGACCCTCTATTAACCATCCCCCCCACCCCTTGTCCCAGAAGCCAGATGAAGGCCAGATAATTCTTTAACTGAATGCTGAAAGAGCTGTGTTGGGCTACTTTTTTCTTTTCCTTTCCTTTACTTTCTTTTTTCCCTGGCTTTTCTCTTTTTAATCTTTCCTGTTGTATTCTGTTTCTTTCTTTTCTGTAATTTTCTTCTTCCTTCCTTGCTGCCTGCCAGCCTTCTTTCCTTCCTTTCTTAACCAAACTGAGATGATTGTAGAACTGAAAGACAGTTTCTCATACAAGAGAGCTTGGATTTGGGGATCCCTGGGTGGCGCAGCGGTTTGGCGCCTGCCTTTGGCCCAGGGCGTGATCCTGGAGACCCGGGATCGAGTCCCACGTCGGGCTCCCGGTGCATGGAGCCTGCTTCTCCCTCTGCCTGTGTCTCTGCCTCTCTCTCTCTCTGTATGACTATCGTAAATAAAAAAAAGAGAGAGAGAGAGCTTGGATTTGGCACTTCTAACTATTGCCTGTGCTGAGTAATGGGATGCCTGAGACTCAACAACTTACAGAAAAGAACTCAGAAATTCTGTCTTTTCTTTGACACTAAAAGAAAGCCTTTGTTTCTGTCCAATCCACCTACCTGGTCCAGGGGGGCTCTGCTGTGGGACACTGAGTCTGCCTTCTTGAACCAACATTCACTATCAGGAAAGAAAAAGAGTACGGGTTCAGAGGCAAGTGGGAAGTGGCTTGACACAAAATGCCAGCTGACAAGCATCAGCGAGGGATGGGGGCCAAAGATCTAGACCGCAGCTGCCTTTGGGGCCAACCTGAATTCCTTGGTCACCACCAGTTTGCTGTCATGTCCTTCTTACTTTCAGACCCAAAATCTGATGGCTCCTACAAACTCATGGCTCCCTGGATAGGTAAGTATGTTTAAGTAGGACTATGGTCCACTGTCTGCTTAGGTTTGCCAGCAACTATCCATTTGGCCCAGACTAACAGGAAGAGACCAGCACTACAGTGACTCCACTCAACTTTGAATTGAGCCCCCTTCTCTCCTTCGGATAAAACCCTCACCCCCTCCGAAAGGTGGTGGAGCCCTCTGTAGCTCAGGCTCTCCCACAGTGCTTCTCAGCCCTCACCACCAACTCAGCCTGATTTTTCACTAACGTCCTTGTACAACCCATCCCCTGCTCTGTTTCAACCTCCATGTCACAGCTGTCATAACCACTTCCTGCCATCAGGCTTTGGGAAGTCCCCTTCTTAACATGCACTGGCCTTTCCTGCTTTGCCAAGGATGCCCTTCTTCTGACACCCTGGGTTCCTCCCATATAGTCCCTGGATAACACGGGCAAGGTCCCTTCCCACCCACCCCCTAACACACTGTGGTCCAGGGTATGGTTTGCTCCTGCTGAATGGACAGACATGGTTCCAGCACCGGCGGATGCTGACCCCAGCCTTCCACTATGACATCCTGAAGCCCTACGTGAGACTCATGGCTGACTCTGTCCAAGTGATGCTGGTAAGTCGAACCCTACCTCACCCGCACACTCACACCCACAGCACAGTTCACAAAGTCCATTCTCAGACAGCTGTGTCCTTCAGAAATCCATTAGCGTGGCCCCTGAAATCACACATTACACCCTGCAATGAGACTCAGCCCCCGGAAGGTGGATGGGACAGGAAAGCACCTCGCACCCACTTTCATCCACTCTTTGCTCCCTGCCCACAGGAGAGAGAAACATGGTGGAGATAGGGTCCATTCTCCTCTCACTTTCATGTCTTTGGCTTGGATAGGAAGAGTAGTCAATACCCTTGGAGAATAGGACAAGCTGCCCCTGGCTGGCCTGGGTAGTAGCAGCTTCAGTGGCAGTACGGACATCGGGGACATCCCAGATGTCACTCAGGTGGGCTCTGGGGTGGGACTGAAGAAGTCTGCATGGATCTTAGCCACTCCATGGAGAGAAATGCAAACCAGGTCTCAAACCCCAGAGCTGGGTCCTGCCAGTACATCATCTCTGAGCATGACCCTATTGCTCACTCACTGTACTCAGCTGACATTTGCTGAACAAGAGGAATTGACGTCCCAAATACTCCTTATCAGGACCCCCTAAAATTGGCCCCTTGACCTTTATCTTCCCTTGACACTTGTTCCCTAAACTGGGACTTCATCTATTGCTCTGTGTAGGTCAGTCCCAGGGCAGAAAAGATCCCCCTTTATCTCCTGAGTTACGATGTTTCCAGTCTGCTAAAAGGTGATTATCACCATAACGTATCCCTAAGTCAGCCTCAAGAGATCATTCTTAATAAAATAACAACAGTTTCTGAGAAAATACTCGACATATCTCCAAATATTCGGCTCTAGGGTCCTAAATCGATGAAACACAACTGCTTTAGAAAGTGAGGACACGTCATCAAAGTATGTGGAGCAGCAGAGAGAGAGCCTAGTCTCGTCAGCATGGGCCTTCCAGAGGAGTAGAGAAGGATCAATGTGTCCCCTCTACACAGGACAAGTGGGAGGAACTCCTCAGTCAGAACTCACATCTGGAGATCTTTGAACACGCCTCCTTGATGACCTTGGACACCATTATGAAGTGTGCCTTCAGCTACCAGGGCAACCACCAGGCAGACAGGTCAGTGAAATGCATAGCAGCAGGGTCCTATTTCCTGCCAACTGGTGTTGACTCATCTGGAGGTAGTTAGAGCAACCCAAAGAGCCACATTCTGTAGAGAGCCCCAGTCTGACACAGTCAAATTCAGCCCTACCAAACCTGCATTAGGCACAGACTCTGATCCCTGCCTCAGGGAGAAGCCTGGCTGCCCAAGTCCCTCATAAATGCCTTGGTCTCCGGGGCATAAGACAGATGTGTCAGATGTCTAGGGACATCTGCAACAATGACTGAGGAAACCGCCACCCACAGCCCCACTCCACTCCAGTTCAGATGCCTCCCTCCACCTAGTCCCTTCTGCCTCATCCCCCTTCAGGAACTCCCAGGCCTACATTCAGGCCATTCGAGATCTGAACAACCTGGTGTTTGCCCGGATGAGAAATGTTTTCTACCAGAAAGACATCTTCTACTGGCTGACCTCTGAAGGCCGCAGGAACCACAAGGCCTGCCAGCTTGCCCATCAACACATAGGTTGGACTCTGCCCTCTGGGCACCTCCCCTCCTTCATTAGGGACTACCCAAAGGGATGGGCTCTGACCCCTCAGGCAGAGGCCTGCCCCTCAGTGCCCCTCCAGAAACTGGGACAAACCCACTGGGATGTTTCCTGGTGCACCTGTTAGGGCACCCGGTGTTTGCAAGAAATTACATGCGTCACAACATGGGTGAAGGTTAAATGAGCCCCCCTGCCAGCCACATAAAAGCAGAGCCTCCTTGAGCTGTGTTGTTGAGGGGAGGGCTTACATGCAAATACCTGATGCTAGAGCTCTCACCCTGGCATGCCACCGATTCCTCCTGAAACCCCTCCCACCATGAATTGGGCACAGGGGGCAGGAGGGCTACCTGGCTGGCTATGTCTGGGCACCCAGAACTCTCAACTCTGCCTGGAACACTGTTTGGGCAGACCGAGTGATCAAGCTGAGGAAGGTTCACCTACAGGAGGAGGGAGAGCTGGAGAAGGTCAGGAACAAGAGGCACTTGGACTTCCTAGACATCCTCCTCTTAGCCAAAGTGAGTGTGGCTGGGGAGGCCTGAGCATTTGCCCACAGGTGGGGAGCAAGGGTGCAAACTCAAAGTCTGCCCTCTCTCTGGGTCTTCCCAGATGGAGAATGGGAGGGGCTTGTCTGACAAGGACCTCCGTGCAGAAGTGGACACATTCATGTTTGAGGGGCATGACACCACAGCCAGTGGCATCTCCTGGATCCTCTATGCTCTGGCCACACACCCCGAGCATCAGCAGACATGCCGGGAGGAGATCCAGAGCCTTCTGAGAGATGGTGCCTCCATCACCTGGTGAGTGCTCATGAGACGGTAGGGCCCTACACCCTAACTAGAGGACACCCTGGTTGCCAGGGCCTATCCCGCACTTCAAGGCAGCTTTCTTTAGGGAGCACCTGGACCAGATGCCCTACACCACCATGTGCATCAAGGAGGCATTGCGACTCTATCCACCAGTTCCAACTGTTGGCAGAGAGCTCAGCAAGCCCATCACCTTCCCTGATGGACGTTCCTTGCCTAAAGGTATGGCCTTCACTACTCTCACTCTGTAAGCACTCAGTGCCGACATATGGGAGGTGTGAAATCCACATGTCCTGGGGCAGCTCTGAAGCTCTGTGGCCCCATTTTTTTCCACAGTAAGTGGGAACGAGGTTGTAGTTGGGATGAGGTTATAGAATGCTTGTCACAGAATCGGGCCACATTCAAAGTTATAAAAGAAATAGTGAAAGAGATTATAGGGAAATGGAAGGAAAATGAGAGGAAAGGATTAGAAAGGGAGAGAAAATATGAGAGACTCATAACTGGGAAACAAACAAGGGGTAGTGGAAGGGGTGGTGGCAGGGGTATAGGGTGACTGGGTGAAGGGCACTGAGGAGAGCACTTGACAGGAGGAGCACTGGGTGTCATACCATATGTTGGCAAATTGAACTTCAATGAAAAAAGTACTAAAAAATAAAATAAATGGGAGTTCCCCTTTGTACTGAGAGAGAATATGCTCTATTTCTGTTTTTTTTCTGCACATAACATGAAAAGTGTCTCTCAATTCTTAGACAAGGAAGGAATCGAATCCTAAGTTTCTATCCTCATCCACAACAAACATTCAATCTCCAAGGGTTCCATCATTTTTTGATGCTGTATTATTCTCATTGATGGCACTGACATTTTGTGAGTTTAAGATTTTATATATATATATATATATATATATATATATATATATATATCTCCTATTCCTGACTCCAGCAACACAACTCCTGAAGAATTTCTATCTTCATTGATATCCCTTTTGGATATCATCCAGATTTGATGTAATTATAGGACAACTACTTGATGACAAATGAAAAAAAACTATATACCTGCCAGTTAAAATAATGACTCACGGGCCCTATGTGGCTCAGCACTGGTGTGTATGTCTTGGCTTAGGTCATGATCCTGGGATCCTGGGATGGGGCTCCCTGCTCAGTGGGGAGTCTGCTTTTCCCTCTGACACTCCCTAGTCATGCGCTCTCTCACTCTCTCAGGTAAATGCAAAAACATTTTTATATAAATAGTGATGACTCAGTACATTGCACCTTCTCTACAAGGAGATGTTGGCTTCAGGAAGGGGTTTCAGAAATAGCATACAATTCTAATACCCAAGATTTAATAGCTAGAGAGGGAGAGCCCTGGGACAAGGAGAGTTCTCCTTCCACCCTTATGGGGTTGAGTACATCAAGCATATCAGGAAACCCACTCTCATTCTTCAGATTGCCAACTACCAGGGAGCCCTCAGGTTGATGGAGAGAGCAGCTGGTGACCACATCTGAGGTCCCTGCCATGGTCTAGTCTACCTTTTAGCTCACCTCTGTTCTGAATCCCAGCCCTGCCACATCCCAGCTGGGTGGTCATAGGCAAATTGCTCAGCCTCTCTGAGGCTTAGGTGCTCAGGTGAACAATGGGCATTGGGCCTTCTTTGGAGGGTTGTTGTGAGATGAATTAGTCAATGCATATTCCCCAAGGGCTCATGGATGGTACTTGATAAACGCAAGTTGTCCCTTGAGCTGCTCTCTAACATATGCCTCCAGTTCCTTCTGCTTCTCACTCTGGTCTGGATAGCTACTAATCTGGGCACATGTGCTGTGCCATGTCTGCCCCACTTCTCCTGCTACACTAATATTCCCCTCAGAGTGATGAGAAGCGACTCTCATAGCAGCTGCCAAGTGGTGTGGGCAAGCACCTGGCCCCGCAGGCAGGGATGACCATTCCTCTCTCTTTTGCTCCACAGGATTCTTAGTCTCGCTCTCCTTTTATGCCCTTCACCACAACCCGAATGTGTGGCCAAACCCAGAGGTATGATGGCCTTGGGAGGACGGAATGGGGGAATATCTGCGGGTCAATCCCTCCTCCCGTTCCATTTCTGGGTGTGTCCTGAGGTTGAGAGGAAGGAGAAGCTAGACCACACCTATCCCAGCCCTGGGGTTCTTCTGCAGGTGTTTGACCCTTCCCGCTTTGCACCAGATGCCTCTCGACACAGCCATGCTTTCCTGCCCTTCTCAGGAGGATCAAGGTGAGGCACTTGTACTGGAATGGGAAGAGAGGGCTGTTTACTAGGGACATTCCTGATGTTTGAGACTTCATACATTTACATGGGTCTTGCAGATATGACCTGACATGTTGATGTGCTGGGAAAGAGGTGTGTGTCTCTATGTATGAAAGAAATTTGGTAATCACTGCAGGCTATGGAAACTTTGACCCATTTGTCTCACTCAGTCTCCAGCCACAATTCAGTGTCAGTGGCTATTCAATGGCTCAAGCATTCTTGTGATTTCTTCACTTTATGAGGATGACTTTACAGTATTGGACATTCTCACGTGTAGTTTTTAACTGTTGTCAATTAGACATCAGGACGGAATCAAAAGATTTCTTTTGCACACATTCTTAAACAAGCCCCTCTCCCCACTCAACCCTCACACTGCACCGATGCCTAGGGACGTGAGTTTCCACCTCAGCTGCCTGCACGTCTGAAATATTTAAGCCTACAGAGGAAAATTTCCTGCGATCTCTTAAGGGCCTCAGAAGTATTCAACTTGTGACTCTAGTATTTTTGCATCTATGCAAAAGAATTTTGGACTACATGGAAATGATCATGAACGCTTCAAGTTTTCTTAGTTGTGAAATCATTACATATGATGTGGGCTCTACATACCTGAATATTACACTTTGAGTCCAATCATCCAAAGAGCAAGTATATAAAATGAGGACATTAAATGGCTTTTGAGAGAAAATCCACGGTTTTTTATATGTACATGAGAGGTGGCATTTGAAAGTTAATGGCATATGAAATAGAAAGCACACTTGAAATGGCTGTTCAGGTGCATGACAATTCTCCTGTGTGAAATCCTCCTGGGCTGCTGAAATTGTCCTACAAATCGTAACTTCTGTAAACTTTTTAAGTAGTTATTCATAAAATGCAGTTTAGCAAATACAAAAATTTTCAACCTTCGAACTAAGTGAATCCACTCTCTAGAATGGGACTTAAGCAAACTATTCTCCAGATACTGGCTCCAGGATTTGGTAACTCCCTGGGATTGATTCCTTCCTGGTAGACATTGGTGCAAGACATGTGGATGCCAGTAGAGACAGGAGAGGTGTAGACAGCTCAATTCCTAGCTCAGAACTAATGGGGACTTTTGTTTATTCCTTTCTGCTTTCCTATTCAATTCAATAAACCTCATGCAATGTCTAAGACTAATTATTAAGCCTGACTCTGTGCCAAGGCTATGCTATGAGGTGGGATACTGTCCTTGCCTCAGGGAATTTGCAGTCAAGAAATCGATGCCTCTACTCAAAAGACACATCATCCATTCATTCTTTCTTTCCCTCACTCATTTACTAATTGACCCCACAGTAGGAAGTTCCGTGTTTCTGGCACAGTACTCCTGTATGTGAAAGTGACATGCTCTTGAGTAAAGTACCATGTGATTCAGGGTCCAGGACTGAAGAGGCACAGCCAGTGTGGGGGGGGGTGTAGGGGGGGCTGAGGGCAGACTGTCATTGCCCTTAGCCTTGGGCATTTGGCCGACAGAGGTGGAGGGAGGGCATTATCTGGGATAATCTCAGCAGTAAGTGAACTGGTATACCAGCTGGACAGGTGACAGGTGACTGTGCAAACAACCCAGAGAGGGCTTTGATGCCAGGATGAGCCATGTGGACATGCTTACCTGTGATGGAAGACGTGGGAGGTTTTGAGTATGGGTGAGTGGGGCATCAGGAGATGGACCAGAGGGAGGAGACAGCGAAGTCCAGGTGAAGTGGCAGCTGAGGGATGATAGGCAGGGACCCTTCTGCAGTAGAATTAGAGATGACAGCAGCTGGTTGAATGAGGGGCCGAGGGGAAGGCAGGAGTCTGGACCCAAACTGAGAGGCAGATGGTGCAGCAGCTTGAGCATCCCTAGAGCTCTGCCCCTGCAGGAAGCTTCCCTGTTGGCCATCCTGACTTCCTTACCCAACTCTATCTTGTCATTTCTATGAGGATCTGGATCCCTGTGTACTCATGGGATATGGTTAGGACCTGAAGTGTGGCCCAGCCCACCCCCTCTGGTGCCGTGGTCTAGCTCCACATTGTGAAACTAGAAATAGCTGGTGTAGAGTAAAGAACCCAGTGATTAACTGTTGTAGTGATCACTTGACTTGGCTCTGAGGCTCAAAGCGTTGACCCTCCTGTAACAGGGTTTCAGGCCTGCTGAGAGCAGAGGTAAGAGGAGGAGCTAATTCTGAAAGAGTGTAGGCTTTTGTCAGAGGTCAAGGGGAGAGTGTTAAAGCAAGGCTTGGGGTAGAGATGTGCATGTGTCCTGAGGGAAGGGGATCAGGGCTGGGCCCATGCAGGCTGGCCCTGAAGGGACTGCTCCTGGCAGGGGCTTTGAGGCCACTCCTCACTTGCTTTTCCCTCCCTGACCCAGGAACTGCATCGGGCAGCACTTTGCCATGAACGAGTTGAAGGTGGCTGTGGCCCTGACCCTGCTCCGCTTTGAGCTGGCACCAGATCCCTTCAGGATCCCAGTTCCAACTCCAAGAATTGTGTTGATGTCCAAGAATGGGATCCACCTGCATCTCAGGAAGCTCCTCTAACCCTTGTAGGGACAAGGATGAGCCCCGAGGGTCTCCTGCCTGCCTTTGTGTCTTCCTGTCAGTCTCTTATGTCTGCTGGCGTCTGCTCACATCCTGCTTCCCGTCTGCCCACCTGCCAGCCTTCCTGCTCTCCTGCTCTTGCACATGAGATAGTGCTTCTGTGTCTCACCCTTTTCCAAGATTCCTTCTTGTTTGTCTGTTACCATTCTCCTACCGAGGTGTCACTCTGACAGTTGATGCAAGTTGTGATTTCTTGCTTGTCCTACAGGCTGTCTGTTGTTTCCCTGTCATTGTTCCTTGCTGCCTACTTGTCTGTTCCTATAATGTTTTCTCTTGCTGCTTTACCAAGTTATACAAACTTAGTTCCTTCTAAGAGCACTAATTGATAATCTTGTGTTTTAGGAGATCAGAAATCTGAAATGAGTCTCACTGGGTAGCAATGAAGGCATGTCGATGCTCTAATGGATAATGTCTTCTCTTGCATTTTCTACCTTCTCAGAATCCACTCTTAGGGCTATTAATGAGGGGACTAAGCGTCCTCATTTATCATAGAAATACACTTTTCTTCAATTCAACTGAGTCAGATGTTAACCATAACTATCAAATTTTTAGTGTAACATCTAGACTTGTTTAATTAAACAAGGGTACTCCAGCCAATCCAAGTGCACCCGGAAAGCAAGACATGTCAGTCCACATTTGTCCACTTGGCATTCACACATTCCCTTACACCATACTTCGTCCCTAACTAAGTAAAATAAAGTCATGCTTCTACCAACTCAGCTCCCTATGATTGAAACTGTGTAGTTTCTTTTCCCCAACAACAAAGGCCAAGTTTTTGGAGGGTCTTCTCTCTTTTCCCCCAAATGCTGTAACCTAAATGCTATGACACAAACGTAACTACTGGTTTTACATGTTACGTTTTACATGTAACACTTTTTACATGTGCAAGTTATAAGAAAAGGAAGGAAAAATCTGACACACATATGTACACATGCATAATCATACTCATAACAAATAAGGGGAAAATGCTAGAAAACATTACACTCCTTATTTCTCTAACCTGTGACATAGCCATCATTAGCATTTAAAACACCCTTATTCCATTACCCATTTCAGAGTTTATTTGCCCTCTAAAAGCACCTCAGCCAGTTTTGGGGGTTTTTTGCCTTGTACAATGACCCAAACCTTCACTCTTGAGGGTTCTGGGTCATTACTAATCTTTCCTCAACTGGCCTGTGGCATTTTCCCCTTTAATGACAGGGCATGGTAGGTCTAAGAGATGCTGTAGTACTTTCTTCACTCCAAGTAACTCCTTTGTTTTTGTTGCCTTTGTTGCCTAGCAACTGCCACTTTCCCAGTTGGTAATCATGATCAGTCTAGTACAGTCATTCCACCTGATTCAGAGCCATGAGGAGCCCAATGTGGCCAGCAAGTTTATTCATGTAGTCATTCTTGTGTCTCCTGGTGGAAGCACTCCTGCCTTTGGAAGTAAGACCAGTAGGACAATGGAGCATAAGGTTGCAGTAAAAATTCCCCCAAATTTTTGTAATCAGATTGATAGAGGTAATCATGAGTGGTGCCATTCCCATTTCCATCCCTGAATCCTGGATGGGTGAGCCTGGTTATGGACGAAAAGCACCATATATTGTACATTGATTTAAAGCAGATAGAGTCTACTGGAGAGCCTTCCTTCAACCCTGTAAGTTATTGCCACCTCGCTGCTGCTGTATACCCAAACCTACCCTGAGGTTATTTCTCTGGATCTGGAATGCATACCTGTAATGGACAAATGACTACAAAGACTCGGTAGCATAGAGGGGTTTGATGGCACTGGCTCCATGGGGATCTTCCCATATGTCCCTATTCCAATGGTCAGGCTCCCATTTCTCAGTGTTCTCATTGTAAAGGATGACAGGCTGTAACTTATGGAATTCATTTTCCTTTTAGTTCATACACAGGCAGGATGATCCCTGGGTTTTGTTTAATAAATCTGAGCCCTACCTAAAGCCTGTGGCTATATGTCAGGATGATCTTCAATGCAGACATAGAAGCTTCAATCAGTGATTTCTTTCTTTGGTCAGAGAATTGGGGGTTTTTTCAGATTATTTTTATTTATTCATGAAAGACTCACAAAGATAGAGGCAGAGACATAGACAGGGGAGAACCAGGCTCCATGCAGGAAGCCCGATGGGTGACTGGATCTTGGGACTCCAAGGTCACGCTCTGAGATGAAGGCAGACGCTCACCCACTGAGCCACCCATGTGACCCTCGGTCTGAGAATTTTAATCCTCCACATTACTCTTTCTTTTTCCCACTCTCCCCAGTACAACATGGATATCCAGTCACTCTTCTTATGCTCCTTAGTTTAACTAAAATTTTTAAGGCATCAAATACATACTGACCAGAACTTTCCCTTTAACAAGTCTCTGATTACCAGTATCACTGGTGATGTCCTGTGTATTGCAACATCAGGCCTAGTGTCCTAAGCTACCAGTGTCCTCTTTAACTTGGCAGTTAGACGCACCACTGTCTTTCCAACTAATCCTCTTGAACCACCAACTCAAGAAACCCAGAGTCAATTCAGGTAACTCATTAACATTCTGCCTCTCTTAGAACCATTATTGGTATCAAAATTTATCTTAGAGTTCGACCAGAAAAAGAAAACAATTAGAAAAGAAGCTTCCCCAGGGTCAGAAAAAAAAAAAAAAAAGAACAATGGGACAAACCCAGAAATACAATGTATCTGAGCTCCAATTCTGACCACCCAGTAGCTTTCTTACGTTCTCCCTGTGTTCTCACTGAGCAGCTTAAGTAAGAAAGGGGACAAGGGGACCAGGCAGTGCAGTTGATGAGATGCCTGACTGAGTGAGGTCACAGCAGGGAAGGAAAGGGCAGAGATAGGTCATGGTCAGGCAGCACCAATTGTCTGGGAAGTGTCGGGCAAGGTAAGTCGGTACCCACTCAGCCATCCACGGGAGGAAGAAATTAAACACACTTGGTGTCATGGGATTTGTAGAGGATAGATGATCAGGTCATGCACAGACTGGTAGGTTCCCAGAAGAGACTGGCGGATAGATAGGACACGCATGGACCTCAGCTCCCCAAGCTCGAGTTGTAGGCCCCAGGACTCCTTCCCACATGGTGCCTGAGCCCTTTGCTCTCAGGAAGCCCTACTTTCTTCTGGGAATGCTGACACCCTCAGCTGTACCAAAATTTAGAGAAGTCAGGCTCACAGATGTTCAGGAAGTCGAGGAACAGTCCAAACCAGAGTGGGTGGCATAATGGAACTGGTGGCCCTGGACCCAACTTTGTCCAGGCTCCCTGTCTACTGCCTCAGAAATGTGAGTGAATGCCAGGCCCCTCCGGAGCCCACTGTACCAGCCAGGCCCTAAGTCCCTGGGCCCGGGAGAGAAGGGGCTATCCAGGCAGATCCTCAGAAAGTCCTCCTCTCCTCTTCCAGCCACTCCTAGACAGTCATGGTCTTAGTCTCCTGTCCAGTCCCAGAGCTACCACTCTAAGCCCAAGCCACCCTCTTCCTGCACCTACGTGAGCTCAATAACCTGCTTCCACAGGTTCCTTTCATCAACCCTCCATCTATTCTGCCCTCACAGAGAGATGTCTTTCTACGCTGTAAAGCTGTTTTCCTGAGAGAGAGAGAGAGAGAGAGAGAGAGAACACCAGCTTGCCGTGCAATGTAGAAATATGCTCAGTTGGGCCCCTGTTATGTCATTAGACTGTTTTGAGGACCTACTATGTGCAGGACATGGTCTAGATGTCTCAGGTCATGAGACAGACCTGATCCTACCCTTTCTTCTATGGGGAAGATCAATACAACTAAGCAATTAAGAAACATGAACGCGAACATGGCCCGTTAATGGTACCAAGAAGCATCCAGGAATAAAAATACCTATTTCCCTTTAAAATGAGGCAACTCAAACTGAACCTAGTCTCTTTCAGACGGTGATCAATGGGTCCAATGTGATCCTGTTTTTCTCCTCCATTTGTTTGTCAATCAGTAAGACTGCACTGGGTGCCACAGATCGGCACAGCCCTATGTCACATGTTATAGAAGCATAAGGGTACTGGTTGCCCTGTTAAAACCTTCAACGGCTCTTTGGTTGGGCTGTCTGGATACCAAAAGAATGGGAAAGATGTTGACTGGTTAATCAATGTTGACCATGCCAGTTGGAGAGGATGTGGAGAAAGGGGAACCCTCTTGCACTGTTGGTGGGAATGAGAACTGGTGCAGCCACTCTGGAAAATTGTGTGGAGGTTCCCCAAGAAGCTGAAAATAGTTCTGCCCTATGACCCACAATTGCACTGCTGGGGATTTACCCCAAAGATACAGATGCAGTGAAATGCCAGAACACCTGCACCCCAATGTTTATAGCAGCCATGTCCACTATAGCCAAACTGTGGAAGGAGCCTCGGTGTCCATCGAAGGATGAATAGATCAAGAGGATGTGGTCTCTATTTACAATGGAATATTAGCCATTAGAAATGACAAATACCCACCATTTGCTTTGACATGGATGATGCCGAATGCTGTTGAGAATGTTTTCGTGGTCTGTTGGTCATTTGTATGTCTTCTTTGGAGAAATGTCTTCTGGTGACTTTTGCCTCTTCCTTGACTGGATTATTGTTTTTGGGGTATTGAGTTTGATAAGTTTTTTTTAATTTTTTGCCAGAAAAAACATAATTTGGTTTTGTAAAAATAGATTTTGGAAAGTAGCCCTTTATCTGATAAGACATTAGGTAATACCTAATACCTTCTCCCATTCCATCAGTTGCCTTTTAATTTTGTTGATCATGTCCTGTACTGTGCAGAAGCTTTCTGATCTTGATGAGGTCCCAATAGATACTTGCATCTGGAGGCATGTCTAAAAAGAAGTAGCTGTGTCTGAGGTCCAAAGGGTTGCTGCCTGTTTTCTCTTCTAGGATTTTGATGGTTCCCTGTCTTACATTTAAGTCTTTCAACCATTTTGAATTTCTTTCTGTGTATGATGTAAGAAAGTGGTCCAGTTTCTTTCTTCTGCATGTCACTGTCCAGTTATAGCAACACCATTTGTTGAAGAGATTGACTTTTTCCTACTGGATATTCTTTCCTGCTTTGTCGAAGATTAGTTGGCCATATCGTGTGGGTTCATTTCTGGGTTCTTTATTCTGTTCCATTGGATACTGTGTCTGTTTTTGTGACAGCCTATCATGTTGATGATTATAGCTTTGTAATACAGCTTGAAGTCTGGGATTGCAATGCCCCCTGCTTTGCTCTCTTTTTCAACATTACTTTGGCCTTTTCTGATTTGATACAAATTTTAGTGTTGTTTGTTCTAGCTATGTGAAAAATTCTCGTAGTATTTTGATGGAGATTGCACTCCATTTCTTTGTGTCCTCTTCAGTTGCTTTCATAAGTGTTCTATAGTTTTCATCAGGGACCTTTTACCTCTTTGGTTAGGTTTATTCCTAGGGATCTTACAATTTTTGGTGCAATTGTAAATGGGATCAATTCCTTGATTTCCCTTTCTGCAGCTTCATTACTGGTGTATAGAAATGCAACTGAGGTATGAACAGAAGTACATTGATTTTTATATCTTGCAACTTTGCCTAATTCATATACCAGTTCTAGTAATATTTTGGTGGAGTCTTTCCAGTTTTCTACATAGAGCATCATGTCGTCTACAAAGAGCAAAAGTTTCCCTTTTTCCTTACCGATGTGGATGCCTTTTATTTCTTTTTGTTGTCTAATGCCCGAGGCCAGGAATTCCAGTATTATA